GGCTTAGTTTGGATGTATTTGAGTGTCTTTGTTAAAAATCATTCACAGTTTCGCCTTGATTGGACACCTTTTGTAGGATAATAGGAGCATTAAACATAAAACATTTCGAGACATCCTTTAATGGCTTGGACTAATATGCTTCTGGCCATATTTGAGGGCGGTTGGTGCAACGGTGTGCTGTTGAATGAGAGGTCATATTAGTCCAATTAAGATTTGCCTTTGTGGTAGACAAATTATGACCCTTTCTAAAAGTAAATGTAGCAATGCCACACCGTAAAAATACTCAATTTCAATTCAGGCACTTCCATTTTTAGTCAAGTAAAACCACACAACTGTGACCAGCTGCTCTCCAACAAGCATCGAGACTCTCAGATAAATGTAGTGGAGTAAAAAGGAAAATGTTTCCCACTGAAATATAATCCAAGTAAAGCATAAAGTAAAAATATGATGATGGTAGTATTGCATTAGTTATGGCTCACTGGGGCACTTAAGTAGAACAGATACATCTTTAATGTTAATAGCAGCAACACTGTTTTGTGCAGAAAAAAAGGCCTATTGTGACCCTTCATGCTAGTTCAGACCATAGACTGTATATACAAGACGGTTCAGACAACTCTCAGCTGCTACACGTGGCACACTGATAGTTGCTGCTACTTATATCAAACGCACCCTTAGAGCAACGGCGGTCCATTTAAGCTAAATACACAGTCTGTGCTTAATACTAACACACACTGTCTTTGACTAACATTGCTCTATTAGCGCTAATTAGCACATTCTGCTGTTAAGACTACAACCAATTGCGTCTTCAGGAGGAGTCTGTGGAGGAGTGTCCCTCATCTGTCACCTGTTGGCCTCAAACACAAACTTCAGTTTGGGACCACGCTTTCTTCAGTCTTCCTCAGTCTGTTTATGTGCTTGGCAAAAATGTCTGCTGAGGCTGCAGCCAGGTGTGTTTGGTTGTTTGCTCTTCCCATCACAGAGCTGCTTTTGGACGCTTTCTTGGCATCTGCTAACTTCTAATTGTTTTGCTATATAGTGCTGCTATCTGTGTGGAGTGTTTGCATTGCTTTTATGTTTTATTTTGTCGTTCTAACACGTTCTAGTAGTGGCTTTTCTAGTTTGGTGTTATGTGGCCGGTGCTTTGTAATGCTTTCATGCTGTTTGTATACTAAATATTGGGTTATGAGTTATGAGTTCTCAACGGCTGTTGGACCCCAACATGACTCAAATGTCAAAAATATTATGAGCTGAATTAGTTTACCAGAATAAATATTTTTTATTTATTCAAGCTTTTTGTTGTTTTGAGAGTCTCTAGTAGAGGATAGTATTGTGAGCCTTTTGGCTTTCAGGATGTAAATGTGACCGGTGTCTTGCGCACACAACATTCTCTCACAATATTGTCTTTACAGAAAACTCTTTGCATATCAACATTTTCTCCACCGACTTCATATTCAGCTCCACATTAGATAAATATTGCAGCTCAAAGTAATGGGTCACAATTAAGTGCTTATAGCTTCTTCTTCTTCTTCTTCTTCTTCTTCTTCTTCTTCTTCTTCTTCTTCTTCTTCTTCTAATGCCGCTGCTACACTCAGCTGCACTTATTGCCAACTTAAACTCATATCCACATAAGGTCATCTGCTGCTTAACAGCACTGCATCGCATTATAGATTGTCTGCTTCAAAGCCATGCATTTTTTTTGTGAGTTTAATATGCTTTAGTTCAAAAAGAATTTGCTGCACAGATGGCATCTTTGCCTGTTGCTGCATATCTAGCTGGATTACTGGGTAAAAAGTTTTCCATCTCGGTTTATTTCATAGTTCATTCTCTGCAGTGTTTGAAGGTGCTTTGTTGGGTGACGGCCAACATGGCGGTCGGTGTCCTCACTTAGTGGATTTGACACGCTCTGGCGTCAGGTTGGCTAATATGATCGTGGTGGGGTGGAGTTAATTCTTGTCACTCCGTCATTTCTGCCGTGTGACACCAAGTGCTGATCTTTGGTGCTTTCTCGGGTTAGGAAATGACGAGGCCGGGGCAAAACATCAACCTTGGGCGGTCTGCAATCACATAAATCTGTTCCATCGTGAGTCGGCCTGACTGAAATGTTAAGATTGTTCCTGCACCTTTTGAACTATGTGCCCCCCAGCCGTCTGCAGCGTAATGGTGTCGCCCACCCCCCTTCCCCCCCTGCAGACCTGCATGTCTGTGAGATTGAAGACTCCCACGAGTGGCTTTCAGTCGACCAGACAATTACTGTGGATATCTTTGGGCTGCAGTGTTCTCTGTAATGACTTTCATTAACTGAAACCTGTCGTGTACTTCACCAAAACACTCGGTCACACCAACAGACACGTGAAAGCTCTTCATCTTTATTCACTGTGAAGAACAGCACTTCCCGGACAAAAAAAAGGATGGAAACTGTTTTGTCGGCAGCGCCTCACATAAAACCTCAGTAATAAAAAGGTGGATACTTTTTTAGGATGGCGGTTAACAAAGGTGAACATTGGAATTGTAGTTTTATGTCTGAGGAGATTGGCCCTCATCGCCCTCACAAGTCAGTGGAGATCAGATAACGTCCTTCTCTTCCTGGTTTCCAATTCCTTTCCTTCACAGTGCTGACTTCACGTCACAGAGCGGAAGCACGCCCAGCTATTTGCATGTTTAGCGTCGCATGTTTATTGGCTTACCATTATAACTGAGGTGATCAGTTTGTTCATTTTGTACAAGTTATACACAAATGCACTCTACCTTTTCTCATGCCTGATATAACTCTTAACTTTGCATTTTTTTGTGGAAGTGAGAGCGGGCGTCCTTTTGTCGAGCACCATGTTTTCTCATTTATAATCATTATACCTATGCGTTTTTTGTGATTGCTTGTTTCGTCTGGTTCTTTCATTTTACGCAGACTATATTTTGCTACTACTTTCATTATTTTGTTTGTGACAACACGGCTAATATTATTATTTACTCCCAGTAATGTGTATGTTTCTGGTTGTGAATATGCTTAAATTACCAGCGGCACAATAATTCAAAGATTTGTCTTGAATATTTCTCTCTCTATCCTGCATGTTATGCAAATACAGCTATTATCCGAGTAAGAGTTTCGGCCTTCGCCTTCATTAGAAATGAACGTGTGCAGGTCTGAAGTATTATTGTGTTCAAATGCGTCTTACTCTTTCTGTGTTTCCAGATCAGCAGATAAGCACAACACAAAGCGCCGGTCACCGAGCTGGTATGAACAACAGCCACTCCATGTGTAATGGATCGTTTGATTTGTCATAGCAAGCAGACATAGAAGGTTAACCTTCTATGTCCACGTGGGGGGCTTCAGACAGCTCGTTTTCCCCCGGCGTGCTGAGAGAAGATGAGGTGCTTCAGCTTTAAACGTAATGGCGTTCCTGTGCGGTTAGTGGAAGGCACCTACAGGGCAGTGAGGACTGGACCGGAGCCAGACAGCAACAGTAACCTTCAGAGTCTGTAGACGGCTGCACAGCCTTTATTTATTGGAAATACTCAGTACACTGAGAACCCTCTGCTTTGTTCATCGCTCTGTAAAGACTTAAGTAGATTTAGTTTTTAGGACTATATTATATCTTTGTCTGTTGCATCGCAGTTTGTAAATCTCAGGTTTAGATGTTAATATTGTTGATATAATTGATGCATATAAAAACCGAAGCTTGTTGGGCATTTGTTTTTGGCTTTTTTCTCTTGGAGAAGGGCTTTGAGGATTTACAGTTTTTACTCTATAGTGCTAAATAATATATGAAGTCAAATGGGTGAATTGTTGCAGCACCGTCTGTCCAAAGTCCACCAGCGCAGCCTTAAAACATGTTCATTTATTACTCGGCATTCCAGCTTTTTATTGCGTTCCATCAGTTTTTATAGCAAATATCAATTTGCTAATAACTGACCATCAAAAATACATTTTGGGGCAAACATTTTAGCCCCCATTTCAGAAACCGATTTTGACAATAAATTATGGGCAGGAGTCATATTTTAGTAACCGTAACGCAGAGGCACAACGTTAGTCGTATGGTGAGCTTCTGAAAATGCGCACATCTGGAGCTATCCATTGTGCCTTGGCTGTTTTACCTGTTTTGTGTGTAATGTATAATAGTCCTTCTAGATATTATGAGTTGCATGTTGCTTAACTTCACAGAAATATCAAGAAACATTTTAATTGGCTGTGCTTTGATTTGAAAGTGCGCAACATGTTTTTCTTCCCTGCAGAATATCCTCACACTGCAAAATCACAGTGTAAACCCCACCAACAGAAACGACTCGCATGCACGAAGAAAGGCCTCACAACTCCAAGACAAAATACAACTTCCTTTTAATCCCCCCCCCCCCATTTCCATTTGCTACATGTCATACAGTAAGAACATGAACGAGAGAGGGCAACATACAGAGTCCAGTCACTGAGCATATAGAGAGCAACTTCCCGACAAAAACACAAAGTCCACTATGATCCCGGAGCTGTCTTTGCGGAGGAAGTCTCTGATCTCTCGATGGCGTAGGGACATGCAGTGAAATCGCTGGAGAGAGAACACAGTGTGTACAACTCTGCTTGCAGACAGCTGCTAATTCACAGTTAGGTTTTGAAAAGTGCACACAAGGTACGGATCTTGTAAGTAGCTCGATGACTATTATCTCTACTGTACCACAACACGTAGTGTTACGGAGCTCAACGTAGGATGTAAAAATAAATGACGTGACATATCAATATTCACAAGAACTGTTGGAATTGATTTCACAATATCGACAAATTCACAACTTATTAACACTATTCTGAGCAATTTGAATTGTTGCCATTTAGTTTATAATACGTTATTTAATCTATTTGTCTACGGCTTTCTACCCAATGGCGAGATTTGCATCAATGTAGAGGTTATGTCGTATAAAACGTAATATTTAATACTGCATTGAATAGATAGATTCATATAGTAATAGACTCTTAACATACTGTATCTTATAGGATGACATGTTTCTGCTGAAGTTCACTCTGGCCCTGTGAGGAAAGGATTTATCACACGAGTAACAAAATCACAACCGAACCTAAATGGCAACAATAAAGTCGAGCCCCGTCTATCAAAACCCCTCAGATACGATAGATAGTAAAAATAATTCCTGAAATACCACAAGCTCTTGACTTATAATGCTAGTTCTACATGCATACTCTTTGAAGTACTTGTTTTTATTAATGTCTTTCTTTAATGTTGATGATTCATCTCTTACTTTTGAACTCCATGTTGTGTTTTGCTATGGCCCTTCTTCAGTTATCAGTCTGAGCAGTTTGGATGACAGAGATTCTGCTGCAGAGGCTGTGGTTTTGTGGCTCTGAAAGTGTTTTTTTCCCCTTTTTTTGCTGTCCAAAGACACACACACACACACACACACACAATGTGCATTATGAAGGTAATCCCGCATATTGTGCAGTTGGACAAATCAAGACATTTGTCAAACTGGTTGTCTGAAGCAGAGGCTTCAGTATATAAAGTAGAATGATAAGATGAAGTATAGATTACATTCAAGGAAAACGACACACAGGAAATGGACCAAACTCTGAACAGATCTCCTGGTAAACCATTCGTGATCATTTCTCGGGTGTGCAGACAGAGCAGGATTTTGATCATTTTTATGTGGCACATTGCTATCCTGTCAAGAATATGAATATTATGTAGTTTCACAAAATCCTTTCACAATGTGGCTGTAATTCAATTTGACTCCTTTACACTGCTGAACGGTTCGAACACACATGAAATTGCCATGCGAGTGTATCTTTGGTTCCCACACTATACGACATAATGATCCCGTCATCTGGCTGCATGGTGATATTTAGGAATAAGAAGACCGTCACTCAGAGGATGGCTGTCTTTGAGGCTCACACAGGCAGAGGAAATACTCGCCGGCTGCTTCTTCTCAGAACTGCTTACAGTACCTTGATCACGTTACTCAGATAATCATATATAAACATAGCGCTCTGTTATCAGATCCGGAATTAGCAGCTGCCAGCCGGCTTTAAACACCCTCAGCAGATGCGTATCGGTTTGTTTGAGACAGGAATCCATTAGTTTGAGTCTCAAACAAAGACCTGCCACCTCACAGTAGTCATTAAAAGCAATCCCATGTCAGCTGCATGATGTCTGCTTGTTTAAGTATTAAAAAAAAAATGCTATTAAACAGGGACACGTTCACCTGGTTTGTCATTATGGATTTAATGGGATTTATTGGGACTATTAAAATGGTATGAGCGCCTCACAAATCTCATCAAGAGTTTATAGTGTTGTCATTTATCATGTCAGTCTAGTCATTGTTTGAGTTTGTGTATGTGTGTGTGTTGTTTAAATATGAAAACGGTTTACCAGGAGACATTCATGCTTTTCCATTTCTGTTGTCTGTAGAAGGTGAACAATACGTCCTCTACGCATGTGGGATGAAGACTTTTGACATGCGTTTTGATTAGAGGTAAGGGTTCAAAGATCCTCTACATTGTTTAATTAACTACAATGTCAAATGTGTAACATCACTGCAAGAGTGGAGATGATGAGACTGATGCCACCCTAACAACATGTAATCATTATGACTTGAAGAAGAGATAAATATCTGATCTATTATTCAGTTTTTGTAGATTATTTGCAAAACAAAAACGGAATCATTATCCTTCATTTTGTTACGTCTAAGCTCAACCTGCAGTTATTACTTTGAAATGTGGCCGTAATGCGTTTTTTTCCAAGGTGGGAACTCAATGAAGAATTGCGTGTGGTCATGCATCTCCACACTCGTCCGATCGCTGACTTCCCTTTTCCTCATTTTGTCTTTCGATGATCGTAACTGAGATGGGTTGAACTGACAAAACCTCTGTGCTACCAAATGAGGGTAAAAACACTTTCAGAACACTGTGCCAGCTGTAGATTATTAGCATCGCATCAATATGCACAAATAATTGGAGTTTTAAGTGTTTATGCAGATGTTGCTGAGGTTACGAGTATGTAAATGAGTAACTGGGATGAATCACAGAAACACTGATACTAAGCCCTATTTCAGTGTGACAAACACCATTATTGGAGGTTGCAGACATACACGTGTACAGATTGTCATGCATTAACCTATGACTGATACATTGTACATGGTTTGTGTTATTAACACACCTTTTTAAAAAGACGCCACAACACAGTTCACTCATTCTCCTCTGCTTTGCTGTACCGCTGAAGGTACAGTTTGAATCCACTGGATGTAGCTAGTGGTCATCGAAGGGTCTTTAATTAAGACGATGCAAAAGTGCATCCGGCAAAAAAAAAAAAAAAAAAAAAAGCAACAGAAATTGCTTTAGAATCATAAAACATCTGTGTAAACACGTACCACGTTCAACACAAAACAAAAATACAGATGTCACTGAACAAAGAAAACCGAAGTTGGAGACAGTAGCCACCAGCTGGAGACGCATTTGATTTACAATTTAGAAAAACTAAGAAATCAATTTGATGAGTAGCTCTTCAGTGTGGTCACAACAATTACACTTAGTTTATTATTTTTACTTTATTATTTTGTTTCACAGCATTTTCGCAGTATAATAGTCTCCAGGGATGATAGTGTCTCCGAAATGTTGATTAGAAATACTGCATGACTGACATATTGGCCTTGGTTGTCTACTTCAAAACACTAAAAACAGTACAGCATATGTAGACAATCAAATTCACACCAATATACTTTACACGAGCGAGTATAAAAGGGAAAAAGTACAACATGAATCAAAATCTTGCTTTATGACGAGGCAGAAAAAATCAAAATGGAGCAAAAAACACTGATGCAGAGAAAAACCAAGAAATAAAGGCACCCGGGTGCCTGCCCACAATAGACTTAAAGAAGAGAGGGTGTCTGGTATGATTTAATGTATAAAACGGCTAATGTTATTTGCATCTCCATGGAAAAACATATAATAAACTATTCAGAATTCGACTTCAGTCTGAGGTAATGGTGGTAGTTTGTTATGACTGTTTGGCTCACGGAGACGCCGCACCACAAGCCAAAACATAAATGCACATGATAATTGTTCTGGACAACGCTGGATCCTTTTAATCTCTTTGCTTCATCTTTTCACAGGCAGAGGTCTGTTAACCTTCCACACTAATGGGCAATTTAACACTCGGCGCACATGGGCCGTGGGTGGGTGGGTAAGTGGGTGAGTGGGGAGCAGCCACATACTGTAGTGCACGGAGCCTGTGGACACCAGTATATGTTTGCATGTAATATACACACAGACCACTGTGCACATGTGAGTGTGTCAAAGCCTTTTTTATTTCTTTTTTTTATCATGTGTGTATTCACCAAGGCACATAGCTTCTCTGTCATTGAGCGTACTCGGCCAGTTAAAACAATAAGAGCCACTGGACTAGAAAATGTACAGGCGGCCCCACGGGACGCGGTAGCAGTTCCAGATGATACTGCATTGGCTGTGCTGAGATTCAGCGTTAGCTGAAGGCCAGACACTGACGATTATTAATGGCGTTCCTATGGAACTATACAGGCTGCCCCTCGGCTAATGGAGCACGGTAAAGCGACCGACCGAATGGCTCTTCTGGCGTTTTCTGATGCGTCGCTCTGTGTGTCTGCGTGCATGCATGTTGTTAACGTGATGGATGCGTCATAACCTTATCATTGGTAATGAGCTACAATGAAAACTTCAAATGCATGCTTGCTCTAACTTATTATAAGCAAAGCTGCAAACGTGTCAAAACATAGTGAAAACACAGTTTCACTACTCTACAGAACGGCAAGCAATCCAGATACAGCGAAGGGACACTTGGGTTACTCACAACAGGGAATGGGGCCAGAGCTAAGTGGCGAGGGGGGAAAAAGAAACTCTACACAAACACAGCCTAAGGTGGGAATGTGCTCCCTCCAAGGTCCACCACTTAATGTGAATCTACTGTATGTTAAAATGTGCCTTCCATCTATACAGACGTGCAACATATCAAACTCTTAAGAAAAAAAACATACACTTGAAACACGTCCGCGCACACACACACACACACACACACACACACACACACACACACACACACACACACAATAAGATGTAATGGACTTGACCTCCTGCAAACCTGTCTACCTCCGGATCAAGCCTAGCATTTGGTCAAATTCAGTTTAAGTTGTTTGCCTTCATGATAGCGGGCTTTCTGTTGACATACGTGGCCCAGTAGCCTAAGTTGAAGATGAAGAACAGAACTGGGAAAATGATGCGCGAGATCTTGTCCACTTTGCTGACACGGTTGTAGGACTTCTTGGCCTCCGTGTAGGGGTCATCCATTCTATGGAGGTATTGGTGTTTGGCCGCCGCTCCAGCGGCACTCTTGGAAATGGTCGTTAAACCTTGGTCTTTAGCCACGTCGATGGCGTAGGTGGTTCCAACAATGTTGAAGGTGTTGTTTGCCTTTTTGGACAAAGTCGCAGATTCTCTTCTCTGAAAAGGAAGAAGGCAGTAAAGGTAAAGGTTGTCAGGGGCGAAGCACCAGACTGAACAATACTTCCATTTGAACTCATAAAGAGGAAATAGAAGCAACACCACGAGACACGACACACACAAGAACAAAACAAAAGCCTAACCATATCGTTAATCCTGGCCATGTTAGCCTGAAACGGTTCCTGAAAAGAAAAGTAGAAAAGAAAAAAAGTTTACCAATTATATTAAAATTACCCAACTTACATACTCTATTCATCAGTATCTAGCTGGAAGTACTTTTGAACATGTTACACTATTAATATAGTGAATTCAAATCTGCATCATACAAATCTGGATTGCAGAAAAAAAGGTTCTGATAAAAATTCCAGACCATGTTAAGAGTGTGGAAATGATATTAATAATTGAGTTCTGCAGGAATGAGTCTCAAAACCAAGAAATGAGTCAGCATTTTTGCACCTCCAGTTCCCTCGTTTCAAAGTCACTGGGTTTTTTGAACGGGCTTTTGGTTAGATGACTGAAATAAGGTCTGTGGTCAAGAGATTTTATTAAAGTTTTGTTATACGTCAGGAAATACCAATGTAATGAATTTTGAAGCTTTTATTGCATCCTAAAAAATGGTCGCTAACAAGTGGCTGAGTGAGACTACAAAACGCGTCATCACGTCAACATGTCCGTCTTTAGCTTAGCGGTGGTGACCGCATTCACGCTTCAAAAATCATCAAAGTGGTGTTCATTTGTGAAGATTATCTTGCTTAGCAAAATGTGCAATTATCATAAATGTGTGTTTGCCACAGAGCTTATTCTTTGCCATAATCCAAAATCCAATTGGAAAAATCCCATTTTGTCAAGGGGGATCCAGTGCGACGCTAACTTCCGGGTTGGTCATCCCTGCAGCACTCTATATTTTGCATCACTGCAGAACTAGGCTGGACTGGCATCTAATACTGCTAACAGTAGCAATAGCAGGATTGGAAACAAAGCAAAATAACAGTGCCTGAAAACTTCTCTGACAAACTGCCTGAAGAGGCCTGGCTGCTCTCAGTCACACAAACGGCTTGCGATACAACAAACACGACAAAAGGCTGTGTGTGATAAAGCTGGCTGGAGAAACTGCTTTCTTCCTGCCGCTGCAGAGAAATCATTAGACCGTCTTTCATATTGAAATCGCACAGGGAGACGGAATTTGATTTGCTAAATTGGTACACTGAGATAGCTAAACTAGTGTCACCAGAGGATCCTGTCAGCCTAAAAGAGTACAGTGCAGTGCACACGGTGAATGTGAGGGAACAAGTAGGGCACTGAGATTGATCACCGGGCACAGTTTTAGTTTCCTGTGTGACATGCGGTGTGTGCGAGCCTGGACCTGGGCCATTTTCTTCACAACGTTCGTCCCCACTTTAAGCTCTGCAGTGCCACTAAAGCACCGTTTGTCACGTAACCGAGTGTTTCACTTTCAGTGCTCCCTGTTGTCACTTTAAGCCCAGCTTTAATTTTTGCTCTACTTTTTCGGCTTCATTTCATTTTCCTTTCCTTTGACTCCATCTCTTAAATTAGCATAACTAATGTCCCCCCCCCCCCCTTCACGCTGCATCTCTTTCCCCACACAGCTCATCGCCAAATGTTTTGTTTGGTCTTTATCCCCAATATTCAAACCTCCCCGCATAATGGAGGCAGAAAAATGGCTTTACACGACATGTGCTATAGTGTGTTTGTTGAGTGTCTCAACTCGACCACTTGGCCGCTATGATGCTATACAAGCAGTGGAATAATATTAGCAGTAAACATCAGGATAATGTTGAGCTTCAGACTGTCTGTCCGAGGTGACGGAGGCAGCAGGATTGAGGAGGACAAGCGTTCAGTGTAATCAACTTTTCTTCCTCAGGAGAGCAGGAGGAGGACGATCCTTCGAGCTCCTCTGCAAACACAATAAGTCTGGCAGAGAACCTAACAAAGTTCGCAGATGGTTGATTAAGCAGAGAAATGGTGAGACGCTGCCTGGAAGGGTTTATCTGAAGTCAATTAGTACAGAGAGAGAGACAGAGTGTCGCTCTAATGACCCCTGGGTAACCAGACGCTCTCCCAGGTCATAGATTCCTCCGCACTCAACACCACCGCGAGCCTCCTCTATCACAGCTGTGGCTTACATCAGCAGGAAAAGTGAATGGCTACTGTATCGTGTTCTATGACCTTAATCATAGCCCCCTAATCTCTCCGGTCCTTGGCAATAGGGACGCTCTTTGCACAGAAACCTGACAGACGAGCCGAGCAAAGTCATTTTCCGTTGCTATTTAGCCGAGCTGTCGTCTGCGGTAATTTATATGGTCTAATCATTTGGGAAGCCACATGTGGCATTGGGCTGTGTGGGTGTGCGTTATGAAACTAATGTGACGCAGCACATAATTTACCTCCGGCCAAAGATTCTTGCGCACTATTCAAAGTAATTTGGCTAGCCGCGGGCACAAATACACCCCCGAACACAATGCATCTATTGACCTTGTCTTTTGTTACTTCTGCAAATTGTTGCATCAGAATTTTTTCATGACTGTGGGTGTCCTGGGGGTAATTGTGCCTCACTGTGCCCTGCTGTTTGGAGCTCAGTGTGTGCACGTGTGCGTGTAACCGAGCCTTGTGACAGTCTGTCCCGGTCTAAGATTGGAGATGAGGTGTTGGCATGTTTGATAGCCTCCAGTATGTGAGCATGCGGGTGTATGAGGACGCAAACTGTGTTTTTAGGGAGCTGCAATGTCTCTGTTTGTGTTATTTCAGAGATTTTGTAAATCTGGTAGTTGCTTGAGCTTGATCTCATCACTGCAGGTTGTGTTACAAGTTACCTAATCTAGCGTTCATTCTTAGGATTGGTGATCAGATATGACCACCTCATATTGCTATATTACAAAGGTTATTTCTAGCAGTCAGAGAAAGCTTTGCCAAGGAGCAAATAATCAAGCATAACACCTCCAGCTCAAAGCGAAATGGTGTGGAAAACTTATCAAAAAAGGCAATAATAAGAGGCCTCCAGAAATGGCAGCTCAGTTTTTTTGTTTTTTGTTTTTTTTCACCTGAGCACACTGGATTTCCGTTCATAACTACATAAAAGTTTGGTTAAACTTAGCTGTAGCAACTTCCCTGTTGTTCAGAAAAAACGAGCGACAGCGTCACGCTGAAATGTGACTGCCCGGAACGATAATGACAGGCTGGGCCTCCAATTTTCTATCGACTATTATTGAAAAATCTGAGGTCGTTTGTGCCGCAGGTGTGAGCCGTAGTGTACGCGTCTAACGGTGATCTCTCCTCCGCTCCAGCAGCGACGCCCACCGCACAATGAGCCGGTGCTTCCTGCGTCTGCTGATGAAACCAGCAAATAATATCTAACACAGTAGAGTACAATCATGTGTCACGGCGCGCCGAGAATACGGAGGCTTTCAATCCCACTCAACTACCCACCGGCTAATTTCTGTAATAAGCACACCTTCAGCCGGTGGAGGGGAGCACTAATTGGGTAGCTGGCTTGTCAAACAGAACGATGGGCCACAAAAGAGAAAAGAAAATGGCATATAGAAACTCCATAACCAGCCATGTAAACAGTGCACATTGACTCTGAGGCTCACTATTTCAGTCCTCAAATAATAAGGAAGCCTGAGGGCGGTGAAGTCATCGTTTGGTTCCGTTAAGGTTGATGACTGGGGACGGTATTTGCAAAAGGACGTACTGAGCTAAAACTACTCTCCTGGAAAAAAAACCTCCAGCCTTATAGGTTCTCCTCCTATAGGTTCATTTTTTTTTATTGTAAATGTGTCATAAAGGGAAAAAGCATGTATAGTCTGATCCCTCTGCTTTCCAGTAGCTTGTTCTAGCAGGGAGTGTGATGGGAGTGCCACGTCTCCCTCTGTGACCCCATTCTTTTTTATCTATCATGACAACTGCATGCTCAGCACAGCCCCCGAGAACGCAGCCCAGGCTGTTGCCATTAAGACGAGGCATCAGAAGGAAAAAAAAGAGAAAGGAAAAAAAACCTCCTCTCTACTGCAATGTAACCCTGCAAATTATCCTCACCGACTGAAAAGTTCCATAGCAGCAATACGTATTTCTGCCAATCACTCAGAGGACCAAATGTCAAGCTATAAAAACCACTAGAGAGGCTGTACTGATTGTGTCAAACAGTTTGTACATTAGTAGCAGAAAATAGATTCGTGGCAATGTCTGCCGCAGTAGAAGAAATACGTTGTGTGTCTGTGGCTGTTAGAAGTATTCCAGCAGCTTTTACTGAGCCACTGTTTACCAGATAGGACATATTTCATAATGGTTTTAATTTGATTTTTACGTTATTCCCAAGCATAACACCAAACCCAGAAGGCCATCATTGTAATGTAGCTTTACTTCTTTTGTATATTGCCACTGTTCATATGGGCCGATCCATTTAGAGTATGAAATGCCTTAGGAATAAATCCATTATAATTAGTTTTTCCCTTTTAACAGTGTTATTGTGGTGCCATCGTGGCCTGGTTTCTCCTAAAAACTCGCAATAGAAAAAATGAATTTAATATAAAGCAAAGTAATGAAGTCGTACATTTTCTTGCTCTTCAGTTTCTAACATTATAGATATTGGTGTTTGCCAGCTCTCTTGCTGTTTAGTAATCAGTGTGACTTCGTAAACCTCATTTGTTCCACAAATTATACACAAGTTAAAAATGTTACGCAATTCTTAACACAATGGGAGGATTTTTCTAATGTAACTGACCTTTAAAAAAAATATTTTTGACGGGAGAAAAACATGTTTTATAGTCTACTTCTCAGCACTGTCAATCAAACCACAGGGCTGCCAATACCTGATTCTGTCAATCATGCGGTCCATACCAAAATAGGAAAATAATGTATTTGTTCCTTTTCATTACTGGAGCAAATGAGCCTCTTTGAAGCTTTAAGCAGTGGAGAATTTCATACATTCAGCACAGGACCAAGTGCTTCAATTTAGCTCGTTGCTTCTCAGTGAAACTATCTAATGCCTCTAATATATTTCATTTGATGTGGTCACTTACAAAACATCATAGAAATAATGTTCAAGCACTGAGGTTATCATGTTGCACTTAGAAGGTTTTTATTCATGCGACTTCGTCATAGCTCGAGAGAACAGCATCTTTTTTTGGACGCCTGCAAAACCCGCCCTCAAATTGAACAAAAAAATAACTCACCGTCACTCAACGTACTCATAAACGAGACACAAACAGCCCAGACTATTGACGAATTAAAAATGCACTAGCTGTGATTTATTAGATTTCATGAATAAAAGTGTCAGCCTCAGGTGATTCATTTTAGATGATGCACACTCACTTTTTAATCAGAGTGTCTGCAACGCTCCGACTAGAAGGGGGCCATGTTTTGTGGGGCAAAGGAGCTAACGCTGACTTTAGGATGAGACATATGCTGCCATCGTAAATCAGGGCCAGCGTCTTTGGGAGTTTACTTCTGTTTCTGCTCCCACAGTTCCGCCCCACTGTCCCTGTTCCATTTGGCTGTTAATGAATAAATAAAAGCTCTCTTTATAGAATACTCCGGGCTGCTTTAAGGAGGGAACTTTCTATCAATGTTTCCAAAGTGTAATTTGCTCACGTCGCTACTCGTCGAGTAAATGAGGACTTACTGAGCAAGTTGGAGCATTTCTAACAAGGTTAACCAATCAAAAGACGGAGAACAATTGCGATTATCTGCAGGAAAACGGCGAACGTAAACTCCTCTCTGGAAAAACGGTTGCGTTTTTGTTTTTCCGGATGACGCGTTTGTGATAATTAATGTTGTTTCAGCACGAAAGTGTGGCCGTGTCATATCTATTATTGAAAAAAAAAAAGGAAAAGAAAAGTATATATAAATAAGAATCACTCACCCTTATCTCCATGCCCTCTTTTTTCCCATCCCATGCCCAGCTGCGTTTGGTGAAGTAGTTGACTGTGGCAAACTCAATCAAGGCAGAGAAGACAAAGGCATAGCACACAGCCATGAACCAGTCCATTGCAGTGGCATAGGCCACCTTAGGGAGGGAGTTTCTAGCACTGATGCTCAGGGTGGTCATGGTTAGGACAGTGGTGACCCCTGAGGATAAAATGAAAACATCAGCAAATGGATCCTTTCTTTCCACAAACACTTAAAAGAAAAGTTCATTTTTTTTTGTTACAACCTGGGTCAAATCTTTCAGAGGGTTCTTTCTACCTTTTTTTCAGATATTTTGGAAACCAGGAAGTCCATTTAAGACAAACTTTGGACAGGGATGAATTGTCTATTTTATCCCAAAACAAGCAAAAGATATACATGAATTAACAGGTGGCCCATTGCATTCCAGAGCTTCCAACTTTACTTAATCTACTGTGTGAAATCAGAAAGTAGAGATAAACGCTGCCAACAAAATTCATACATTTTAAGTATGTTGGGTCAAAATAAAAGGAACTAGCTTCTGTTCTTTTTAGTTCAAATCAGTCTGATGCATGCGTTTTCTGACATCAATAGATGCCCTTTGAAAGCCACATGTCACTAATAACAAAAAAAGATGAATACACATCCATTTAAATCCATGTCAATATGACCCAAGTTGGAAAAATGCTAAATTTCCATTACCTTACACACAAACCGAGACAGACATGCTATTATCCACCTCAAGGGCACTGTGTGCAAAAGTTGGCTACGATGAACGACGCACGTGAAAGTGAAAACGGACTCCATCTGCACACAGTGTTTCACAGCCTGGCCTTTACATTCAGTGCTGCTGGGGATGAAATGTGGGTCGGACGACGGTCGCCCATCCAACCACATAAAAGCAATCACTTCATCTGTTCCAGCCTATCTCATCTGATGGAAAAATAGATGCACAGTAGGCTCTAAAAATGAATACTGTGTTGCAAGAACAGGGAGGTCAACCAATTTCAGTGAGTCATGGGTGAGAAATTAAAATTTGTGACAAAAAGATTGATGGGTAAGTACTACTCAGGACAGAGATTGATTTATTGTCTGCTACTGCATTTTGCATGTCTTTGAATTTTCCAACTTTTTTTGAGAAGCCTTTTACAAGGACAGCGTTAAAAAAAGGCTGCTGATAAAGTTGCTGTTGGATACGTTGATGATAAGATAAATGAGGGTAAAAGACATTGAATCTCTGAAACTTGATAACTGGATGATACAACACTCAACAGCAAAGAACAGATCCTTGTTTGAGCCGATCACTGTGTGAGCAAGAAAAACAGACGTGAACACCCACAGGGAGCCCTCACGGATAACGTCTCAATCATTCCACTGAGAAAATGACACTTCCAGCTTCTCTAAAACTCCTTGTGCGACCGGAGTTATTTTCAAGGTTCAAGGGAAAGCGTTTGTGGAGGCGTGTGTGTGGAGAACTGAAGGACCTGTGGTTACTCAGAAAAACACATGGGGATAGGTAGGCAGCTGTAATAGGCTTCTATTTCCTCGCTAACATGATGAAGATGGCTCCCTTGCTTTGCATCCTTATTCAACATCTGCATTGTACAGCGAGTGCTACTTCATGCTCACGTGTGCTTCACTTCCCAATCAAAATGCTGATTATTCAACAAGCACAGGTTAAGGGGGGGGGCACTTCCATAGAGAATGCAGCACAACAACAACAACAATTGAAAGAATAAAAGGCAAACTACATCTCATCTTTGACCATGGGGTGATCTAAGCAGACACAATGTTCTCATCATGAACAGGACAGATTGAATGTATTAATCACAGCACAAAGGGACGTGTCATATGCAGCTCACTACTTTTTAAATAATAACATATTAGCATATTATTTGCACAATTTAAGAGACTGGGAGGAACATTTGGTTCAATGATTCATTGTCCTCTTTATTGACACCGACGCTGTTTTCTAAATGGTGAGGATCTGAACCTGTGCCATTTCCTTGAAACCTTATTTTGTTCCACTACTGCAAACGTGTGATCCGACTCTTCCATGGTGGTCCATGGTAACTTTGGTGAGGTTACATCTGTCTGTGTTTTAAAAACTGATGTCTGGTTCTTTTTATATTACAAAGAGCTCAGTGAATAGTAAACGCTCTAGGCTGCCTTGGATATAGTTGACAAAGCTGCCAAACGTCCTCTTCAAGAGATGCAACACGCATCGTCTATCACCTGCCTCGCTTGATACGTTCCAACTTTACTTCGACTCATCTTTGATTAATTAGAGGCTGGAGGAAGTCAATACTGTGACAACAGATTTGGAAATAATCTAAAACTAAAAACCACTCCTTCACGTCCATGTGCACCTAAATGCGCCCAGCTATGTTTGTACACCGTAACCTAACCTGTCCAATCAATCATTAAGTGCATGTTTTAGTTGTATCATCAACACAAGATGGCACTCACCAAATACAGTGCGAGCAGGAACCGATTCTCTGTTTAGCCAGAAGGAGACCTGAGACAGTATGACAGTCATGATGCACGGGAGGTAGGTTTGAATCACAAAATAGCCAATTTTCCTTTTCAAATGGAAATATGTTGTCATCACTACATATTCTCCTGAGGGAGAGGAGAGAAACATAGAAAGAGATGGAGAGAGACACACAGGGTCATAATTATTAATACACACAAGCTGAAATATTCAAGGTACGATTTATTAAAGTTGGAACGTTTGCATCATCAAAGTAGCTCGTAGGACTGTCTTCAGCCTCGTAGAGGAGCCAGTAAACCGTAGAAATGATATAGAAAATGCTGCTTCAGAGGATTCCAAGAGCTTGTGATGTACACTTTGTATATAAAAGAAAAAAGTCACGTGACCGACCTCGCTTCAGTTTGAACTAGGATCCGAACAGACAAGCATAACGGGTGGAATTTGGAAAGGGTGGAAAAAGAAATGAAATGACAGACAACGTCGCTGATTTGAATGTTTTTGGTCCAGATTTGAAGGTCCACTTGTCCTTTCTGTGAAAGGAGTTAGAGGTTGTGGAAAAGCAGTACTTGCGCTGTTCGCATACTAGAAAACTGAGGACGATGGCATGTCAGGGAAAAGCTTGAGATGAGGGGCAAATGTTAATAGAAAAAAGGTACAAGTTGTCTGAAAAATAAGCTTGTATAAAATACTACTGCCCAAATGTGTTACACATATTCATTCACGTTGAGCAACAATCTCCCCCCCCCCTCACTCCAATTCTGTTTATGCAGCCTTTTTAAAGGAATACTCCACCAACAATCTGAGCTGTAAAGATGCCTCTGAATCCTTCATGGTGGTCTGCTGGAGCAGTGTACACTCTTCTTAGCTTTTCAATGGAGCACTGCTTTAAATACATATGCGAATTTTGCCACAGTTCCTCTTCGCCGTAGATGCGAAGATCATCGCCTGCGCCATTCTAACCCTTGATATTGAACATTTCCTACAGCTTTGGTTTTTGTCACTGACGGCAGCAAATGTTCCCCTAAGCACCAGCTCTCACTGCCATGTCTGTAATCTGTGTTGCAAAGATATGAGGAAAAAAAAAAAAACACATTGTTCCCTGCGGTGTCTTTTCTGAGCAGACTCTAACTCTCAGAGCCGAACTGGCTCAAATCCTCCCGTTCCCTTGGCTCGCTGTAGTCCATTAGGTTTAAAGTTTAAGGAAATTACTTTTTTTCCCACATCTACAAGCTGAAGCAGTTTATGAAAGCAATCATGTTGAGTCCACCTTGAATTTTTGTATTAGTAGCCGGACTAGTTGGTCCTCTGCAGTTTTCTTGACTTAAGGTTAAACTACAAAACAACACTATTAAAATGGGCTCAAAGAAAGTGCGGTTATCTCTACAACTTTCAACATCCTTTTTTGCTTCCCAAGGAGAACTGGCTGGGAGCCATCCAACAAAGCGGTTCCATGATGGTTTTAGACTCTAACCACAATGTCGCTGGGACTCAATAGCTCACCTCTTGCTGAGCAAACCGCTTCACTGCAGAGGTTAAATCTCTCAAAATGGAAAGCCAGTGTTGCTCAGTTGCAATCTGTCGGTAATTACCAACCGCCCCTCTGAAGCAACCTTTCTATAGCTTTGCAGTAATAAGTACTTTAGCACTCTATCAAGTCCTCGTGCACTGTTCCCTAAAGCTGGAGGTTGATGTTGAAAATGTTGTATTGTTGTTTGCCTGTTCAATCAAAATCTATCAAAAATAATGTGGCAATTTAACATTTCTTTCTGACATTAATATCTTATTAAAAGCATGGGCTGGCAGATTTTCCCTTTCACTTCTTTGCTTACTGAAGTTGACGTTGGGCCGTAGCCCAAAACGGAGTGGAAATAAGACTTTCACCTCTGGCACACCTCCTCACATTATCTTTGTGAATGTGCTGAATAGTTTCCCGAAAAGTCATTTTCTTGACGGACCCAAATAATGCAAGCTGAATCCAAAATGCCAGAAACTGGAGAAAAGTGCAGACTGTTACTTTATGAAAACAAACAAGAGTGCCAGTATATGTCAATAGAAATATATAGAGGGGAAGGCAATTTCATTTACTACATAAATAATGCAGAAAAAGCAATACAAGTTTATATTTTAAAGGAAGGGGTTTCATCACACGATGCACTCATTTTTGTCTCACTGCTTGCAGTTTCCTCCATCAAAATAAAAGTTGGTGTGTCAGACCGCCGTAAAATGTGGCTTGAGGATGGCATATAGTGTACCTGTGCTGGAACTGATGGTTTCTTTGCCAATAACATGTCCCAGTAAGTCATACTGGTTCAGCCTGGAGCCGTCCTCTGCGACAGTAACAGACCGTTCGTGTCCCTGGGTCCACAGGTAGATCACCTCGTTATTGGTGTAAGCGTCTGGGCAACAGAGAGAACAGTAATTGGCACAAAATAGCTGCAAAACTAATGACATTCCCATCAGCCCCAGCCGTATTTACTGCTACTAATTAGCAAATGGTAGCATGTTAACACGCTACACTAAGATGGTGAGCATGGTAAACACTACCTGCTAAATATCAGTAGTACAAGTACAGCCTCACAGAGTCAGCGGCATGGCCGTGGACTCTTGGGTAAGAATTGATTGAAGGATACTTTCACTTCTAGCCAGTGGTTGAGTATTTTTGCTATGTTGCTAAAATAACCACTTCTCATGAAAGTATCCCACAGTCTCATATTCCTAGTGGTGAGTGCAGTTTGAGTCCTCTGAAGTTTTTCCAGGAAAGGAAAGGCGCCTGTAGAGAACAGTCACCACGGTTTCTGTTTTTCCTCCCTTTCCCCCCTGCAGTGGTATTCTCTGTCCTATTAAAGTCTGTTTTGTTGTGACCAACTGGACTGACTTACAACTTCCGAATTTCAGAGGACAGGCGTGTGCATCCATCGGGAAATCCTCCAGGTGCATGGGGCACTCGGCATGAATGGTCAACCTGAGGGGGGGGAGAGACAATACTCCACCGGTCAGGCTGCAGCATGGTTACAAACACATCATGACGTATGTCACCAGAAACAAAACTGTGCATTTTCATAGACCAAAATTCTATAGTCAGACGTGATATGAACGTGAAATAACAATATACTAATAGTAATAACTGTATTTAATTTAATAACAAAACAAACTATCCAAGAGCAATTACACTCAAGATTACAAGGCAAGCAGTAAACATAGTACTCACAATCAGTGTTGTATATGAACTAATAGTGCAGTACTGAAGTGGCAAACTGTAGTGGTGAGATTAGTAACCACAACATGTAGATAATGTAATGTAGTCTGTATATATGATACCATCTAGTTCAACAGCCTACACCAGAATACTTTATATATGATTATGTAATGATAATTTGTGTTTGTGTGTATTAATACAGTAACACATTGACATATAGTATCATAATACAGTTTAATATTGTATGGGATATGAAATATAATATAAGATGGCGTGTAGTAATATAGTATATATAGTATAGTACATCAATATAGCATTGAATATGAATATAATATAGATAATGTATAATAAATATATACATTTGGTGTGTTGTAACAGTTGGAGGAGGAACAGACATCGCTCTCTCCTCCCTCCTGTAGACACCAGTGGTAATGAGAGCTCAGCTGACTGGCAACAAAGAAAAAGAAATCTCCAGAGAGCTCCAGAGTTTATTTCATTTTGTCCAATGGCCGAGCCACACAACGCACTCTGGGAGGTAAGTAGAGAAACGGTTCATATTATCTCACTCGTACATGTTTAATCAACATGGGGATTACATTTGCTGAGTTCAAACCAAACAGCAACCCACAGAGCCGTCCTGCAGTGGACTCGTGGCACTCATAAATGGACCACACACTGGGGTTTTATAACTTGATTACACCGTTTACAGTGCATGCATCAATTAAAAACTGGGTTATATGAGCAACCGGGATGAGCAAGTAAATGTAGTTTTTACATGTGTAATTATAATTTGTAAAACATGTAAGTCATAGTGAATGTAGCTGATCACTTCTACAGTTCCATGCTTGTATAAGTTATTGTATACTGTATGTGACTTGTAAACTTGTACACTCTATGAAGAACAGGATGAAAGAAGTAATGTATACTCACCATTGTAAACAGTGTATTGCCTCAAGTTTATTGCAGCCCAAATATTAAAGCTAGTAACTTCACAGACCACTTCTTCAGACAAACTTACTGTTTCCAATTAGCTCCTTGTGTTGCACACGCAACAACCCTGTGACCCTTTTTACACCCTCTTGGCTGCTCTGTGGTGCTACCTCATTACTGATAAGTGGCTCAGTAACTACCCAAATTGACACAATATAACATAAATCAAACTGGAGCAAACGCACCGCTGCATATCATACAGCACTTAAACCAGCAACTAAATGATGAAATTCCTCTCATTCCTCTCGGCTGTACTGATGTTTTTTATGTAAACCGAGACAAACTAAATAAAACAAATGAATAACAAAATGAAATTACTTTGATCAAATACAACAAAGCAGACTGTCTTTGTGCAATTATAAAACCTCCTATGAAGTATAAAGGGAACACGACCAGGTCTACAGCCATGCTAGCGGCTTGTGAGGCTTCATTTAGGCACGTCAGTGCTTTGAGTTAGATGCTCACAGCAGCGTGCTAACATGCTCATAATGGCCATGTTTACCAGGTATAATGTTATCCATCTTCACCATCTTAGTTTAGCATGTTAGCATGCTAACATTAGCTAATTAGCTCTAAACACACAGTACAACTGAGACTGATGGGAATTAAGTTTTATAGGCATTTGGTCATAAAAAAATTCCGACCAAATGGGGACGCTTGATGAAATGTAATGGGATCAGTAAATTACTACAATTATTCCTCAGGGGGACATGAATGGCATCCATCCAAGAGTTGTTTTGCTATTTCAGTCACGATTGCCATCACCAGAGCCGCGCAACTAACATGATTACAAAGCAAGATTGACGGTAGAATATGAAGTACAAACCGTGTATTTAGTTTTCTACAGAACGTATGTTCTAAATACAACAACTTTATATTAAGTCTCTGCTTTAAGGCAGAGTTGCAGCAACTGATTTACATTTATATTTGTTTCTGGTGGTTCATGATCTGTTTAGTCCAATTTGGGGATTTAACAATAGACAAATTCTGGCAAAAAAAAGCTTAAACCAAAAATATACACCACTGCCTTTTGATGAGTACATTTTACGCATTTCATAAATTGATATTCTCTATAAGGGGAACATAATTGCTTTAGTAACCAGTTTGAGGTGAAAGGAGAGTGAGTGATAAATGCTCTCACACAAAATCAAGACCGCAGCAGCACTGGCAGACAATACCAGCTCCTTCAATGCAAGAATAATGACGCAACCCTGTAGAGCAGAGGCCCTCACAGAATTTGTCAGTTCAGATACTGCAGACGTGCTGATTAAATGGATTTAAGCGGTTGTCTTGGGCGGAGTGTAAATCAACACAAGGAGCCATGCTGATGCGCTTCTGACTAAACTTCCTATAAAAATAGATGGATTTATATTCTAAAACCTAATGCCCGTGACGGGTGCTCAGGCACATTTGAGTTATCAGTCACTCCTTTGGAGTGTTACCCAGTAGTCAAATTTTGACTAAAACTCCTTCAAATAATCAGCCAATGCTCCATTATGATGGCAAGGTAGTCCATGAATTGAACACTTGCAAAATTCTTTCAAGTACTTATTAGAAAAAAAACATTTCATATTAGCCTCAGGATTTCTTATATTTTTCAAGGTGTCAGTTGAAATGGAAAAGGTACATTTTCTTTTATAATTTGTAGCTTTTAATACCCCAAATAAACCACAGGGTCTGAATAAATCCCACTGCAAATGCAACACAAAAGAGAGCCACTCCAGAACTGACGTTTTGAATGGGGGCTTGGAATTGAATAGAAATGTAGGTGCGATGGCTACTAAGCTGGGTCCAAAATATGTTGCTTTGGTCTCACAGTGGTTTATCACACTTCATCTCAACAAACATATACTTGGTTCTGTAAACACAACAGTCCTTGTAATGCTTGGCCTTGGCAGAACTGCCAACACATCATACATCTATTCTTTTGGGACTACACAATGATTTCTTTTCATTATTTAATTTTCACCCTTGAAAATCGATACTGACCTTGTGGCTGAGCATCAAAAAAGTATTTAAGTGAAAATGAGTGTTTCAAGATTCTGATGAGAAGGCTGATTGACAGAGTCGATGATTAGATGGCTTGATAACCAAGGAATTATTCATCCAGTCGTGAGTGTTACTGTCAGTGTCTTGGTAGCCGGCACTACTTACAGTGTGTTTTAGGCACGGCGTATGCACAATGGCACTCTTTGATCAAGTGATTATTCACTGAGTTGTCTGTATCGAAAAAAAACATATGTGGCCAAGACTGTCTGCAAGTCAGTTATCTGATACCGAGTCAGACGGAATGATCAGACATGATCCAGCTAGCTGCAGCAAACAGCTCCCTGGATTTCACATGTGGTTTTAAGTGAAATGTGTTAACATCTATTAGATGAATTGCCATTAAAGTTTGCTACAGGTATTCATGTCCCACTCTGGATAAACTCCATTAACCGATATCTGCATGTGAATGCAGAATCTGTAGGCGAAGGGACAAGATTCTGCAAGTGTTCTGGTTTGTGATTGTAGTTTTGGAGTCTGAGTAGTATTGACCAACCACGTTTCGGGTAAACAGTTCTTGGAACTCATCTTTGCTTTTTTTATTAACCTTGCCACTTGGCTACTTGTGAAATAATCCTGTCTCTCAGCTCAAACTCCATTCGGCTTAAGTTGCTAATTGGACTGTGAACGGTGACCTTTTGTCGTGAAGGAAGTCTTGGTCCAGATATCCGGATACCCCCCAGGCTACACCGGAACCCCACAAATACTGTCTGCTGTCCCCAGAGGATAAATTAGCTCTAAGGCGGACCAGTATTCTCCTCTAAATGACAAGCTGCTCCTCCAGTTTTACTCGGCTTTTTTCATTTGAATATTTCTTTAATCTGATAACATTAATTGGTTAATTAAAGCAGTTAAACGGTTCATTAATAAAATCCCCACCACCAGCAGGTAAACATGTTGATGTGTCCAATACTTTGGTTCATGACCACTAAACTGCAAAACTAATTTCATTCCCACTAGAGGTTGAAATTACAAATGACTTTGCTGATTTGAATCATTTAGCTTATTCGTTTTTCCATCCATCCATCCATTATCTGTTAGGGATGCACCAACCCGTCTTCTTCAGCCCTGATTGCAACACCTGGGCTTTGGGTATCAGCCAATACAGAGTACCGATACCAGTGCTTCGTCAATAAGCTGCTCAAAGCATTACTGCTGGCATGGCTGTAGACTCTTCGTCTCCTTAAAGTTAACTTGTCAAAAGTGGCTCACCTCATCGTGTAGAGAAGCGTGCCGTTGTCGACTAGCCGTAGCAGCTTGTTCGGAGTCGTCATGTTGTGGGCCACCGATTTCTTTCCGTTGTGGAAAAATGTATCAGGAGTCCAGATCTTACTGGCCAAGAGGTTGTTGAGGGGTAAAACCTGCATGGGCCCGTCAAACTTCAGCCTCTCGTCCCTCCAACTCTGACGGAAGAAGACATCGATGGTGTACTCCTGAGGGGAGGAGAGTGCAAAAGATCAGTTTGATTGAACAAATAACGCAAAATATGTTTTTGTGGAATCATCACGTCACAGCTGTATGTGAAAGTGCTTTAGTCAATCATTGTTGTTAATAAGACACGTGTGCGTGTCATGCTTTACCATCTGTAAACAACAAACGGCACAAACTGGCAAGCACATGTATCCTCTATCCAACAGGATACATGTGCACACACAGAAATACATGTTTCACCAGTTATTGTAGAATATATGGTGCGTGTTAACAATGCAGTGTTTACCTTTTCAGGACTGAGACACAAATTAGCCTCATCTAGAAAACCTTGTTATACATCTGTTTCATGTCTTATTAATATGCAACAAAGTCTTTCTGTGTTGTCACCAACACACGAGCAATAAGTGACTGCAGGAAGTAGCCCCTCGAAAGGAATTTATTTCACATCGTTCATTCAACGGGACTCAGTGTCCTAGCAACAGACTTCCCTCATCAGCTGCGTACAGCGGCTGTGCAGACTGAACGCAGCTGTCTTAACAGAGTGAGATGGAAATAAGCTGTATCTCACGCAACAGCACACATTGCTGGTGATCAATAAAGTCACGCCGTATGTGTTTCTCTCTCTTTTGCTCGCACGATGAAAAGGGGGCTTTGCTCGCGTATAGTGCACCGCTCACCAGTGAGCCGTCGCCGGCTTCTCCTCCCTGAAAGGAAAACTGATAAAGTCATTGCTCAGTGGCTTTAACAACAGGAAGCCATCATCCTCAGTGTGTAACAGCTTCCACTCAACCCATCAACAGGGCCCCTCTAAACAGTGCTGGGTGGACGTCTCCTAATTGATGTGATTGGCCTCCTGGCGGCCGGCATACAGCACCATAGAACAATTACGCTGCATCTGTCCACACGACAGTGCTCTTAATAAAGCCCCCAGAAAGCTTCACAGTCAGATAAAAGCAAGAGTGAGACAAACGCATGTTTCTCAACCACTATACCCCCCCCTTCTCCTCTCAGGTTGAGTTACGTCCCCCTCATTTGATTATTTTCTGTTCAGCAATGTCTAAGGTGTCTAGAATCTCCACACATCTAATAAAAAAACACTCATGGAAAGAGGTTTATAATATTATATTCAGGAAAAAGTAAAGACTTTAAATACATTTTACTCAAGTAATAATAATATATACTTGTGCTATATGATGATGCTCGATTACAAAATAATGTGCATTAACATGTCAAGTTATACAAACTAGTGGAATGACATCACACTTTACTAGAATTAACCAGAAAGGACAAAACTCAACTAAATTTAAATTAAACAAATATTACAACACTAAATAGATGAAAAGAGCTATGGACTCTGTGACGGGTGCAACACGCATTTTAGGCTACTTTGGGCTAGTTATGAATATTATATTCAATTTCTGCCAATAAATCCTCCTAAATCCGACACACTGTTCCTTTAAGTATGGGTGAAATGAATTATTTAACAGTAATCTATCTTCTTTCACACCAATTACTCCACATTGAGTTTTGGTCATGAATTAAATGCCCATTTCAGACAACAAAGGACTCTCCGGGTCACAAGAAAGACTGATGGAAACGCACATGGCACTAGGGCGCTCACTATATGGTGATTTATTGCTCTTTGTCCTGTGTGTCTTCGACCACAACTTTCTGGCAACTCTACAAGAAAGTTTGCTCTATCCTGGCACAGAAAGACCCTCTAACCATTTAAATCTCCATTACCACAGTTAAACTCTTGTATGCACTTAACTATTCTGGCCTTTTTCTGTATGAGATCCAACAACAATGCCAAACCTCTTCCCAATCAGTGTAAAACATCCCGTGATGAATAAACAGACAGCAGTGGGCTTGGCTCGGCTGTGCGAAGCCATCATTTGTTTGTTTCCTTTGGACGGGAACCTCCTGTAAACACAGTGAATTCATTTGAAGATTGAAAGACAGGAATGAGGAAGAGCGTAGTCAATCTCCACACTCGGCCAAATGGCACAACCGGTTCAAATGCCAGCTGGTGTTCCTCCAGCGACTGAGTGATTGATTGATTTCTCCTTGACAGAGGAGACAGAGCGGAGCCTCTATCCAACAGTAGTTTTCAAATCTCTTTTTTTTTTTTATAGCAACAAAGATCATGAATGGATTTACTGTAGCGAGCAACTGTAGTCGAAATGGCATTTATGGCACCTGTTACAAATAGATTCATGAATATAGAAATCGCCCACATAAAATACAGATTCCTTTTTTTGCCTGTGTGTGTAAATATAAATATATACTGTATATCCTATATATTCTGGCATCCCGCCTGTACTAGGAAGCAAAGCGACTCAAAGGATATGTGGGAAGAGAAAGAACAACCGCCCCAGGATGGATTAGAAGTGGGACCTAAAGGTGGTACGTTTATTTTATTTATACTAACAATGGATCAAATGCCTTCCAGCATTTTGAAAAGGGTCACTTGTCGTGACAAACCCACAGAGAATTAACGCCGACTCTGCAGTTCATCACAGTTCTGCGGAGCGTTTCGGCGTCTTTCAGCTCATTGTTTTATGGATCTGGCCTAGAGTTTTGCCGTTTTGGTTTCTCTCTTATCAGCATCATTTCCAGACACAGCCGGCAGCTGTTTTCAGCTACGAAGCTCTGATTAACCCCGTGTACACGTCCTGCCCAGCAACAAATGGCAGACAGACAACCGTAGCAACTAGTTTAGCAACTAGAGAGCCAAATATTTTTACTTTTTGTGTTAAAAAGGGAAAGATTTGTCTGCCTCTTGCAGTGTCAATAAATGTAAATGAATCAGGAGAAACTATCCCCCTGTTTATTCGCATGATTCATAATGATGTAGAAATCACCGCCATTGTGCTATATGCCATAACTAAATGGGTCTCTGATGTTTTCAATTCAAGGTCAATTACTGAACACTCGGTAAATACTGCAGAATTGTCACAACGGTGCTGAAAAGAACGCGCAAGCGGATAAAAATAGGTATTAGGAAATGAGGGAAAGAACAAGCTTGTCACGCACACGCAAAACATGTCTCCTTTGCTCACATGAGAGCGTTAAGAGGAGCGGTGGAGAGAGTGAGAGAATGAGAGGAAATGAGGAAAATGATAGCAGTGGCTGATAAGGTGGCAGTTAAGGTAGGATGTACACTAGACTGGGCTAAATGAGTCTAGACGTTAAAAAAAACGACAGTGTCTGGTTCTCTGATGGCAGGAAGGTTGTGTCTAATATCTGATAGAATATTAATGCAGCCTTTTATCTTCAATTAATAGGTTCATTAAATTCCAAACATTTACATATTAGATCCCATTTCAAAAACGTCATTATGTCTTAGTTTTAATTTGGTTTTACTCAATAGATCTGAGCATATAGTCTGGTGCTTGTTTCGCTCACTTGATCTCTTGTGGTTTTACAGCGAATGTGCACGCTTTTTATTTTGCCTTTCATTGAATTATCTGGTTAATAGAACAACATATCCACCATTTTAAATGCTACATCTCTTTCCTTATCCGAATATATTACAAAAACACAATTAATGTCATATCCTGAAGACGGGGACCAGGACATGTTGCTGAGTCCCGGAAATTGAAATTTCCGATTATTTCTGCACCTATCGTCCGATGTTCCTACTCGATGTACATGTTTTGTTTGTCTGCATCAGCTGACTTGCTTTGACAAGTTTGACGTGGTGCCCCAATTCATTGTGCATAAATGTTGCATGTGATATATGTTACAATGGCTTGTTTCCGACAGTCAACAGCAGACCGGAGAGAGCACTCTGATTAGCTGGTGTGGTGATGATGCAGATGGCTTCCTGGAGGCAGTGTATCCATGCGGCGTGGCTCATCTCAACTTCTCAGTCAAAGACTTGATTAATGTCTCGTCTAATTACTGGTCCTTCTGGCTCTCGGCTTGTCAATTATTCTCTCTCGCTTCGCTTATTGTGTGCCGTTCACCTTTCCCCTGCTGGGAGTGTAACCTGTGTGAGACTTCTCAATGAGCTGTGAATCCCATACCAACTCTAATTATCTTCAGTGTTCATCAGCTTCTGCAGCTCTGAGGCATAAACATGCTTTAGCACTCTCATTGTGCCAAACTAACATTTCGGGCCTCGAATATAATCAGCCCGGAATCAGAAAGTGGTAAACACAAGAAGGATGTGATGCAGTGAAACAAAGCTGTTTCAAAACAGCAGCGTGATGTATTTTTTAAATCTGAGACACATTATTAAATGATGGTTATTTCCAGCTGCTCTCAGGGCTCCCATTTAACAAGGAAGTAAGACCGAAAAGAAACTTTGGTCAACATGTAGAACAATACGAAAACCCATCACCTCATAATCTTTGTAAATATAAGTGCAGTGTTTATTTTATTCACTGGCAACGTCCACGAAGTGCTACGCTCTTGTACCGCAGTGACGTCGTAGCTAGGTGATCGGGGTGGATAATGGGCTTACAAAGACTCCAGACTTTCTGTTTTACGCGCACAGCTACAGAGGTTGTGTGTTGGGCCGTGAGTACTGCCAAATTGTAAGTGAACTACACTCGATATTGTGCTTGAACCCATCATGTGTCACCGTGTTAGCTTTGGGGCTGATAATGTGGGCTTATCTTTTGACGCTGAAAAGTTTTATTGAAACGAGATCGCAGTGTCATGAAGTCAGATGAAACAATGATTAAAATAACTGAGAAGTAATAATTGATATGGTGAATAAAAATAATCGCAGATTATGTCTTGAGGAGAGAAACCTGTTTTTCCACTAGATTTTCTTGATCTACACGTGTCCCATCAGTCAAACGGCACGTTTCACCACACAAGGCTGCCGACGGTGAAGAATGTCCCATTCTACACCATTTTTTCTCCAACGTGGTTGTCGTCACCAATATGATTGCAATTGGGTAATCTTCTCGACGCTCAGAAACTAGGGCAAATACAATGGGTTGCTCTTAATCCAAAATAAATCACTTCCTGCCATTTGTTTGTAATA